TGGTAATTCCAGTGAATGGATTCAGTGTGAGAGAGTGAGCACAGTAATCTTTCTCTGGTCCCTGGAGAGCCATAACCCTACTGGCCCAGTGGAGTCGGGATATGAACTAAGAGTAATGCGTGCGGGACATAAGAGATCCTTTGTGCACATCGTAGTTGGAGTGCAGGCGATCTGCACTCTCGCTGATCTATGTCTATTGAATCCTCTTTGCTGTCACTGTGGCTACACATTAGGTGTAATGCTGGCCTGCTTTTCATTAATTACCACATGGATGGCTGGCCGGAGACACATTCATTGTGCGGGGCAGTATATTGGCATTTTTATGGCCATGATTTTGTTTTGCTGCCATTTCAATTTATTTTTTTAAGGAAGTACTGCCTTTTCATGATTGTCCTTCTTCAGAAAGCTTCAAAATGATGAGATCCACACAATGGGAGTGCTTGAAGAGGCTACAACCATCACCTTTTTTGTTTTTGACATTTCAAAGCATATGAAAGATTTAGCCTACCGCTAGTACTTTGAGGCTACATTTTAGCTCTTGCAAGGTGTGCTTTTTATGTAACCGTTTACATTTCAAATGATACTAAAAATCATAGTTAATTTTACCTCATTGACCTGAGAAATGGCTTTTGCAGGACAGTCAGTCTTATGTACGCTAATTTAGACTTGATTTGCTTACAATAGCATTTAGATGTCTGAACCCACTGTGTCCTGTATTTGCACTGTAATCCACACTGGTTAAACAGTAGCTGAAGATCTGTTGGTGGAGCAGGTAATCTGCTGGTCGGTAGATTGATCCCCGACTCCTCCAGTCCACATGCTGAAGTATCCTTGGCCGAGATGCTAAACCCCGAGTTGCCCCTGATGTAGCCACCAGTGTGAATGTGTGCGTGCACAACAATGTGTGTGTGAACAACAATTAGAAAGGGTTTTCAGTGCTCATTTACAAAGTGTGTTTCTGTCTGCTGCAGGTCTGTAACCACAGCATCCTCAGAGGCTGATCAGTGTGATTGTTCTCCACTACAACCGTCCCATCAGCCACCAAAAATAAGCCGGCGTTTCACTCAGCCTCAGCTAAGCTCCCTGCCACACACTGCTGACCACAGCTCTTGTATCATGTAACCCAGATTTATCAAGACATGTCAACAGTTTTTGAGAGTTGTTCCTATTCACCGCTTCCTCTGGGATTTTTTAAAAGTCCCCTCTACCCGAAACCTCGGAGTCACCAGGGATAATCCTGCAAATCCTACCTGCAGCTGCACATTCATGAGACACATCAAGAATTTTAAAAATCATTTTTAGCTCAATTGATTGTATTTCATGTTTTTTCAATGCCTTCCATTTTACAGGCAGTGTCGAAAATAACCAAACTTTTTATGAATGTCAATTTACTCATTTCTTACTGGCCCTAACTAAAGGCATTTTTAAATATTCTAAAACACCCAACTTAAGCAACAATTAACAAAAGATTCAGGAGAGTACTGGGTATATGATGAACCACACTTTGTGTAGTAGTGGTGTCTTGAAAAGGGAAATATCAAACCCTCGTGGCCATGTGTGCACGCTTTTAGTTAGTTTTTTATGCTCTATTTAGTACATGCACCTTTGCTTTGCCATCACCATAGCATTTTTTAAATGACGAGGGAAGCACAGCTGTCTTTGCTTCCAGGTGTCATGTGTGGATGATCTCCGCTGATAAAACAGGATTTGTGACAGATTTCCTTCCTTTTTTCATACAGGTTGCTACTTCATACACATCAGCTCCAGCCATGACAGATTGGATTTTTAATAGTGGTGATATGATGAAATGAAAGTAGACAGGCAAAAGAAAAAAAGGCCGGTAACATTTTAGCAGCAGTGGTGAGAGCTGAATGGATTACCGCAGCATCCAAAATGAACTTGTGTATCTCTCTTATTTCCCGAGCTGTATTATACACATTATACCAAGTGCTTTATTACCTTGACTTTGCATTTCTTCTCCGATTAATTTGAGCTGTCCTCCTCCAGTTTACTATGCAGGATGTCTGGTCAGACGTCACCCTGCTGCGGTCGGCGTCAGCTGTATTTCATTGCCAAAAAGAATCACGCTGTAGTTATGCTGTAGTGTTTACCTACAGCTGTAGTTAAGAAGAACGTCTGTTTTGATTACCTGGCATCAAATAAATTGAATTTTAAAAAAAATCCTGTGCATAATCACACCTGTGTACCCACACTCAACAGAGGGGGCGCTGTTTGCTTTTGAATTATTGCATTTATCTTTGATCCTTGTCTCTTACTGCAGTACCAGTGTAGTAATATCATGTGTGAGTTAACAAGGCTTTGACAATTTTGACTAATGGATTCTGTTTAAAGTGTGTTTGTTGCTTTTTGGGTGTTTTTTGGGAGAGCATTTTCCTATATTCATGCTTTTTTGATGCCCAGATTCAGAACTTTGACATGATGTTTGTAAAGTGTGACTGTAGCCTCATCGCAACGAGAAAGAGTAACGCAAATGTCTGTTTGTGATAAATGCTTTGTCACAGGACTGGAGCTGGTTATAAACACTACATTTGTGATATTTCATTTTTGTAAATAAAGTATCACCCTTTGTTGCACTTTTGTTTTTTGTGTTTACAATCAAGTCACGCCTCTTATGGGAAAGCAAAGGCTGTAAACTATGTAAATGACCTCATTTCCTGAGAGCAGTTAACCCTGACAGGGTATCTATTGTCTTATCTATCTGTATACCAAGTTACTTTTTTTATGACTTTAATGACTTATAAAAATATTATAAGTAAACTATATTCTCACTTATATTTGTATATATATACTTTTGTGTTGATCACATTAAAAAAAATGTCAGATCATGTCAAATTTAGCCTATCGAAGTAACACAAGCTTTACATTAGTGTCTGCGTGTGTTATTGCATTTAGTTCCTGTAAAAAAACTGTGGTTACTTTGGGTCAGAAGAGCAAAATGACAGCTAAAACTGAGGAAATATTAAAGCTGCGCTTCAGACTGAGAATCACAGTCAGGATTCTTTCTTTTTTCACTTTGTGTTGATGCAGCAGTTGGACTCAGATACAGATTTAAGTCCAGAATGAACAACAACAACAACAAAAACAAAACAAAAAAAACAGATAATATCAGTAACAGCAGAGACCAAAATATGTTTTTCAGAATAAAAGACTTGGAGCCACCTCTGTCACTTTGACACTCAGATAAGAACAATCACATTTTTGACTGTTCGTGTACGTGACTGATGTGAGGCTGAGCATGTAGGAGTTGGGTATTTTGTACTGGCACACTGAGGTGTGAGAGGAGCTGGTCGGACTGGTTAGCAACGCAGCGAACAAGCTCCAATTGAAAAATGAAATTTGGTGGTCAGAGAAGGAATTCTCTCACCCACACATGGAGTCTGAACTTGTGTGCCAGACCAAAACACATCTTTCTTAACACTTGCAAGAACAACTACCTTTTTTTCAGACTTTTCTTTGAAGCAAAATGTGATTGTCTTAGCGGCGTTCCCATGCTTTTGTTCGGACACAGTCATCAGACCTTATCAGCTGGATAAACCACAGCCAGCTTCAAGTCACTGAGCCTAAATGGTGACCAAGCTGCTCTGCTGGTATTGATTTGAAGTTGAAATGGGTTGCAGAGGTCATTGTCTTCAATTAAGCCCCACCACACTAGTAAATCACACTAGAATTGACCTTTGACCTTCTTTAGCTTTTGTGCCTTTGCTTTGGCCCCTTTAACCAGCTACCACATCAGCATAACTCAAGACCCAAATTGTCTACATTTAAGTTTGATTTTTCACATTACAAAAGACAAAAAAGACATGTCTGATACATAATTAATAATAATTTAATGTGCACGGTAATGTTTTTTTATATCATACACCTTGATATTTTTACAGTGTGGTTAAAAAGTAAGTATGAGTACAAAGCAAAGTCAAAGACCTGGATTTGAGCCAACTTCAAGCCAAAATGTAATTAAAGCAAACAAACTGTAGGCGATTAAAACACTTTACAGCACGTCAGCACTGTCTGCTTACCTTTTATTGTTCCGGCCACACCCCCACCCCCACTTTTAAAAAGTCTACCTTTCTAGTTTGTTGGAAACCGTATACGTTAGAATGCGTGTCATATGATCACGCATTCTCTTCTCTGGCCTTTTTGTAACGTTCACGGAAAATCTCCTTGTTCTTGGAAATTATACTCAAAAGTAAATTCAGAAAATTCACACTGCCTTTTAATTTTAGCGTCTACTTTAGGGGCGAAGACTCTGTGATCTTAGTGTTTTATGGTATATAGAGTTTACTAAAGCATTTCGACAGCATTATGCAAGTCACACAAGGATTTAGAAGAGCTTTATTTTGAAATACGCATAACTGAAAACGACCCAGCTGTTCAAAATTGGAGTGCAGGAATAACTTAAGGTTACTTTCTGTGACATAAGTAACTGTGTAACAAGTCAGAGATATCGATTTTTTTTACAGTAACTTTTTAAAGACTCTGCGTCAGTTCGACCTTTTAATGTTTTTTGTCGGGCCTTTTCCGATCATGCGAAACAGCTCAGCAGTTAAACGTATTGCAAACTAGTTTGAAATTTATTACAGCATGCATATGTGCTGAGAGAGTTTTATGCCTGTACGTGTGTCTCCGTGTGTGCCTGTGTAGCCTATAGCCTGCAGGAAGTGCATCAGATGTGGTGCGGCCCGAGACGAAGGACAGAGAAAGCCCTGCGGTGTTTGCGCAGCAGCAATCGGATCTTATCGTCGTCAGAGTCGGGGTCTAGAGGCTTGTTGTACTCCTCGTCCTCCACCTCATTCTCCGAGGCCTCTCCGGCCGGCCCCGAGTGGTTGGTCTGTGTGGAGCTGGGCTCAGAGGCGCTCTTCTTCCTCCACTTGGTGCGCCGGTTCTGAAACCAAACCTGAAAACACACAACGCACGGGGGAGTTGTCATCTAACTCCTGTAGACCGGAGCCCTGCAGCTTATCGAGTATTCTTTTAAGCATTGTGTTACGTGAAAAGGTATGGAAAAATAATCTGTGTCCCCATTTCTGCTTGAGGGTGAGTATGTGCTGGTATATGATCTGCAGATTTCTATCGCTGCACTTGAATTTACACACGACATGTATGCTTTTTTATGTGGCAGCTTTCAAAACAAGTCAACACTACTGGGTATAAAAAACAAATATACCACAAGGAATATATATCAGTGGAACTGTCGAACACACACAAAAATAAAAATCTTATTTACACTCATCTCAAATGTAAGCAGATTCTGGCGACGTTACCTTGACTTGTGATTCAGTCATTCCCAGAGAATAAGCCAGTCTCGCTCTCTCTGGCCCTGCCAAATACTTTGTCTGCTCAAAAGTTTTCTCCAGAGCAAATATCTGATGTCCACTAAATGTCGGTCTGGTGTGTTTTTTCCTGCTGGACATCTCCCCAAGAGGACCACTGCCTGAAAAAAATAAAAAATAAAAACACATTACAGGAAACGGATGTATGACACAGGACTGAATTTCTGCCTGAAATTTCACAGCATTTTGGCTCATTGCTCAGGGAAAAAAATGACCACATATATATTTCCCTCATAGACTGCATGTATTTGTTGTTTATACACTGAACCGAAGTAAAATGTCCATTTGTGAATTAAATGAAACATAATTTTTCAATCATCTACATAATTGAATGAAATCTTTTGAATGAATATTTGACATGTTTATTAAATAAATTGTTTTTAAAAGATCTGTTTGTATTTTCCTTTAGTCTGCACAACTTCTAATTAACAACAAATTGTTACATTTTAATAAATGGATTTTCAAGGTTTTAATACAAAAAGAGAGAACAAGTTTTAGTCATATCAAAAATCTAACCTCGAGTCTGAACTCAATAGATAACAAGTTTATAACAGATCTGATTCTGAAATTTCTGTATTACTGGATAATGTTTCCATTTTTAAAGTGGAAGATCAGAGTGCGATGACAGTGCTGAGGAGCTGCTGCTGCTGCTGAGCCCACTCTGCAGTATTTAGACTCACTGTTGGTGCACTGCTGCCTCCCTCCTCTCCACTCACAGCTGCTTTCTGCCCAGCAGTTTACACTGCGACTCTTCATCGGGCACTCAGCGCCGGGTTTGGAGAAGCCGCCCAGTGAGGAATTGTAGTCTCGATTGTAGTACATGGAAGTGCTGGTGACAGAGGGGCTGAACCCCCCCATGCTGGAGTATCCGGGCAGCAGGGTGGCGGTGCCCGAGGAGCCCACCCCGACCATGGAGCGGCTCAGGATGTCACTGATGCCATGAGGCGTCCCTGGCTGCAGCTGGCTGTTTAGGCCCGGGCTGAGCTTGTAGAAGGAGTTGGGCATTGAGTACTGGCACACTGGTGCCTTGATGTCTGAGGGGAATTGGTTGAGGCTGTTGTTAAACAGGAAAGACCCCTGGATGTTTGGATCCATGGGAAGTCTGGTAACTCTTCCTCTAGGTCTTATCAACACATCCAATGAGATCCAAGTAGAAAAAGATATTTGGTGGCCAAAGAAGGAGCTCTCTCACCAGCAGATGAGGTCGGAGTTTGGTACCACACCCTCCGTCTCCAGATAGTCAAACAATTAGGAACACGAGCAGCAAAGTCTCTGATCTTTGTCAAAGTTGCCACCACATCCGAAAAATAAACTTCACTCGCACATTTGATTTCTTCTTATCCACAGCTTGGCATGTGATAGCTCCATATCTGAAGTCTCCTGCGAGTCCTCTGGACACGGATTTTAGTGTTCTCCGAAAGACATATGCCTCCTGCTGGCTCCCTCCTCAGAAATCATAAATTAGCAGTATCTGGAAATGGAGTGGCACCTTGATAAAGATAGGCCACATTAGAATGCAGCTTGGGATTGGCCTGGGTCTCGCAGCATTAATGCCATTCTATTGGCTCCTCGGTGAAAGCCAAGCCTTTTATTGGAAGGCAGCAGATTAATAGCGTTTTGAACAGGTGGAGTGGGAACAAGTTGATTTTTTGATGGCCTGCCATGTGTGAGTGCAGCTGGAGTGAAGAGGAGGAGTGGAGGAAGGGTTCCCCTGTTTCCTAGTTTGATAGCAGAACAGTCCAGTTTTGTATATAGAAAATGTTAAATGTTTGTTGTATATTATATAATTATAAAATGAAAAACTAAACATAAAGACTTGGTTTACAGATAGACATTCTTAAATCTGTGATGTGTGAGGATTTGGTCTATCATTATTTATTTTCCTCTTTCCTATTCCTATTTATAAATCTATTTACCTCCACCGAGGCATTATCAGAAAGGTGATCAATCTAAGCACCACCCTTAGTCAAATATATACTCACTGGCCACTTCATTAAGTACACCTCTACAACTGCTGGTTAATACAAATATCTAACAGCCAGTTACCAGGCAGCAACTCAGTGAACTGAAGCATGTAGATGCGAGTAAGACAATCTGTTCAAAGCAAGTATTGAAATGGAGAAGAAAGATGATTTACATGAGTTTTAAGGCTTTTGAGGCTGGTTCTGAGGGAGTCTCTTCCTGTAAAAATGCCATTTTCCTTCCCACAGTCACCAAGTGCTTGCTCATAAGTAGGTTGTTTTATTGTTGGGGTTTTCTCTGTATTATCATGAGGTCTTTATAAAGCACCTAGAGGCAACTGTTTTTGTGATTTGGTGCCATAGAAATGAAACGGGATTGAATTGAATTGCCATTATAAGGCCATTATATAGGGTCAGAATTTGGCATGAAAACAAAATGAAACCATGGATCCATCCTGGCTTCTTGTTGTTGGTAGGATATTTTCTTGGTTTTGAACCCCTTAGTGCCAAGTGACATGATTTAAACTCCACAGCCTACCTGAGTGTTGTTATTCACAACATTTGTTCCTTTATAACCACAGTACACACATGTTCTGGTGGGTGTCACAGAGCTCAAATAATCTCAAACTGGTTTCTTGAACATAAAAATGAGTTCACTGTACTCACTTGGCCCCCGTAGTCACCAGATCTCATTTTAATAGAACGCCTTTGACATGTGGTGGAACAGGAGCTTTGCATCAAGGATGCACAGAAACTATGTTGCTGCAGATTTGACAGTGTGGGCCAAAATGTCTGAAGAACATTTTTAGCACCTTGTTGAATTAGGACACTGAGAATTAAGGGAGGAAAAAAATGCAGTAAAGTTGCTCCTGTGGCCCAGCATCTTACAGAGTTTTACTTTAATTTGTCGCACATCTATATCTTTAATCTCTTTAAACAAAATGTGTCTTACACAGAGTTGTCAGGCAAAGGACATTGGTTAAATTAAATGCCATATTCACTGGCAAAATCTCATTTCTTATTTTATTTATCAGTGTAATAATGTGCCATGTAATCCACTCTGTTTTTGCACATTAACAAACTATTCAGGAGGACAGGCAACTGTGTCATTTAACTATGTGGCATAAAAAAAACCCCCATCAGATTTTATAATCATGCAAATGAATTGTTGTGATTTATATTAGAGTTATTCTGTGGACTTGTTTCTGGGAAACAGCAGCAGCACAGTGGCTGCTTTGAAAAGAGTTAATGACTCAGGCAGACCTTGGTTTCTGTGTTGCAATAGCTTTAGCACAATTTCCTCACCCATTATCATGTAGGTTAAACATGTCCTGTGGGAGGACTATTTCCGGCCTCATATCTGGACTTTTCTTTTTCGTGTTTCTTGGAATTTCTTTAACTATTTGATTACAGTTTAATAATAAACCTTTATGTAAACTTACAGATATCAGGTTATGACTTTTATTATTTGTATTTTTTTGTTTTTTAAATAAAGTACTCAATGCTTTAAGTGCATGACATATCGAAAGTATTGCATTCTTAACCCAATAGGCGCAAAATACAAGTTGAATGACATAATTAGTGCACACAACACGCTCTTCTCATTTCACAATCAGTTTTACACGTTGGAACACATCGCTGCTTTTATGTGCAGTCTATCAGTGACGAAATGTTGGGATTTTCTTGGGAAAAGGGGGAGAGCTGGTAAATTTCCGAACGTCATGATCTCACAGCTGTTACAAGCTATAATTTCGTCCTGTCACGGGACCCGAGCAGCCAATCATAGCGCCTGTAGAGGGCGACACATCCGCTTTAGAGATTAATCACAACCAGCCAGAGATGTGTAATGAAGCGTCACGTGCTTTCATTGCAGGCATGTCTAGATTCTCCTTTAAGTTCACACTCACAGTCATTCCGGAAATAATATGTTTGATATGGTGAAAAATTTCCATGATGCAAATCTTAAAACAAGATAATATAATTGGTATTTAATGTGTTTAATGGGAAGGAGGCTGCACTGCATTTCTGATAGAAACAGCAGTGAGTGCAGCATGTTAAGTGAAGAAAACGATACTGAAAAATCTTTTTGAGACAGTGATACAGGACCAAACACATTCTTATTCGCCATGAACATTGTCTTTTGTCCTAAGCCACAAAATAATTACAGATAATGAAAATGAAACTAGTTGCACGTGAGCAGAATTCACACAAATCATAATGTGTCCGTGTGCTTTTTTGTTTGAACTTTTACTCCAAAGGTCAGTACCTAAAAAGAAATCACGAGACAAACAGTAATCTATGGGGAAAAAAACCAAAAAACTACCCTGGTCTTTTTTTTCGGGGGGATTTTAGGTAAATTTCCAAAGTATGGCTCCTCCCTCACTCCCGTCCGTCCCACTTCTTTAACTTGTCATGCTGGAATTGTTTCTGTTTCCAAACCACATGTGCTCCAGACCAACACACAGACGCGATCACCTCTTCTATTCAGACGCATATGAGAAATATTACTTATCTCTTCAGGATGGTGAAGGAGAGCAACAACACGAACTCCGGTAAGTCTTTATAGAGAATTTGATGCATAAAAAGCAACAAGAAAAAGTTGTAATTGATTTTACTAAATGAAAGAGCAATGCAAATTCAATTTCACATGTTAGTAGCATTTTTTTTTTCTTTTTGTGTGTAAAAGATATTTTCTAAACTGTTCATTAAGAAATGTTTTATGGCTGCGGCACCACTGCAGATAAGAGAGGGAGAACAGAAAGTTTATATTTTACAGGAAATGGTCTGCTTGTTACTGATGAAGGTATACACAATAACTGTGTGAGTCACACCTGCAAGATAAATCTTTGAAACTGCAGACGAAGCTGACTGCAACTCACCTTTGACAGATAGATGAGGCAACTTGTAGAGTTCGCTTTAAGCTTAAGGTTACTAAGCGTGGATGAAACTTCATGTACTTGTCAAACGTGAACACTCTTGAACTACTATATTAGTTACGTTAACATGATTTATAGTATAATTACTAATACATAGATCAAATATTAACAAATAAAATTTCACAAGAATGTTTTGTTAAAGTAAATGATCACACTCACACAGCTTGAATTTGACTGATGATAGATCATAGAACCTGTTAATTAACCATTAAATGCAAGTATATTGTTACAGTAGTGATTTTCATTTACTAAACCATGTTCTGCCTGTAAAATAATTTGTTGTGTTTGTGTTTTTATTCTTTGTAGTTCTCCAGTCAGAGGTGTCACACAGATGCAGTCTGCTCTGTCTCGGTCCTCTGAACTTCCACCGTCAGGCTGTGGGAGAAAAGATCTGCCTGAGTCATGGAGGTCGACTCGCAGAGAAGACTGAGGCCACGTTCAAGAATGGGCTGGTGTTCAGCAGCCGTCCAGTGAGAGTCCAGGAGAGGATTCGTCTGAGAGTGCAGAGGGATTCATTCATCTGGGATGGAGCTCTGCGTGTGGGCTTTACCAACGTGCCACCCTCAGCCAGATCTCTACCTTTGCCCTGCATGGCCATTCCTAACCTCACTGACAAACCTGGACACTGGGCTGTTCCACTGGATGAATCTGTTTGTGAAGCAGGTTCAGAGCTGGAGTTTTGGGTTTCTCGTGGTGGCAGCATATACGTAGCTGTCAACAACAGGCCGTGTAAGAAGCTAACAGGAGTGAACCTCAGCCAGCCTCTGTGGGCCATGATAGACATCTACGGGCAGACGTGCTCCATTTTGCTCCTAGGCAAGTTCACTAGAACCACAGTTATATTTGCCTTACAGCAGCTTTTCTTGGTGTCCAAAGGCACAGCATGCTCTGACAGTGATAAATGTCTGAATGCCTATTAAAACTTTTTTTTCTCTTTGCTGCAGGTTCAGAGAAACGTGAGCTGTTTTGCACTAGAAGATCGTGTCCTCCACCTGAATCTCTCACTTCACTTGCTGGTTCAGTTTCTGATGTTTCAGACTTCACTGATGATGACTGCATCTCCTGTCTTGACACAGAAGTCCCAACAGGTAAAAAGAGTTCCTTTAAACATTGCTGATTTCAGTTGCACATTTCACACAGAGTGTGGTCTCATTTCCTGATCTCTCTCTTCTGCTCACAGATATAACCTGTGCGGTGTGCATGGTGAAAGAGGCCAGAATCACACTGCCGTGTGGCCACCGGTGTTTATGTAGACACTGCAACTCCAGAGTTTTTCAGGAGTTTGGCACCTGCCCGCTGTGTCGACACAAGATCAGAGCTTCATCAGCAGAGGAGCTGGTCTGAGCTCCGAGACAGAAGCCAGAAATCACCAAAGAGAAGTTACAGAGTGACTGTAACAGTGAAAATACTGCACTAAATGCAAAATCTGCTGCTATTTCTATATTATTTATAATGATAACTTTGTCTGTACAGTGTACTTTTCTACCTCGATGTAAATCTTAAAGCAGTGTTGTATTTTTGTCTAAAAATTGTAATGTGTTGATGGTAAAAAAGATAAACTCTGTTATGTTTTAAGGGTTAAAAAAACCCTCAAAAACAATATTTTTCAATGAAGCGTGTTTTGGAAAAGAAGCATCTGTCTACAGCTCATATCTCTACAGTCAGGAATGAGCGGACGTGAAAATAAATGTTGGTTTTCAGATAAGAGCAGACTGTGTGGCTGATAATAGAAAAACTACACTCCCAAATCACTGATCAGGTCATGTTGTGGCCACCAAACATAACCATAGCGATCTTAATTTAACACAAACACATTTTTTACCTTTTAATTCGCAAACATGTGTTTATATAATTCTTTAAATGTGAAAGTAAATGAACCTAGTTCCATCATTACTTGATTTTTACATATTTCAATATTTATAAAATGTTTCATCAAACTAAAAATAAATAATCAGAGTGAATTATTACATAAAAGTGGTCAAAATAAACTGAAACAGCAAATATTTGTTTGCACTTTGTCCTTGAAGGCTAAAATGAACACAATCAGACATGTTTGTGCTGCCTTTGAGTTTGTGTTCAGTACTTAAAGTTGGTGTTTATGAGTAAAAACTAACAATATTAAATCAATCTGTGAACAGAAAACGTAACAACAGTAAGACCTTTGGTGTGAGCAGAAATGGGCAGTAACGCATTTAAGGTAACGTGCTTTCAAGCAGTGAGTAAAACAAGGGATTACTATTGCAAAAAAAGTAATTAGATTACTGTTACTTTCCTGTAAGCACGCTGCGTTACTAAACCGTGATTTTGTTCGCGGGAGTGTCTCGTGACAATGACGTACGAGCGTGCGACGCCCGTGGCAACAACAGATGTGTGTTGATCAGCAATGGATAATATGAAGTGTGGGAGACAGTACGGCCATCCAGCGTTTAAAGCGTGGACGTACTGACCTTACTTTGAGTTTGATACCGTAAAAAGTGACAAAAACATTAGCTTCCGCTGTACACACTGCGTGGGAACAGGAATGTGAAATTCACAGAGAAACCCCCCACAGACATGATCGCTGCAGCACCAGGCAAACCTCCGCCTGCTCCACTCCTGCTAAACAGGTGAAAATAGACTCAAGAGCGACAGGACTTAGTGCCACTGAATCTTTGATTTTATTTATTTATTGCTGTGTTTTACTTGCATCTATTTGAAAGAGTGCATATAAACACAATATAAAACAATTTTTAAAAGAGACTTTTTCACTTGATTCAATTTTATATGATGGATTTTGCAGAATAAATAGAATTGGGATAAAATGTCTATTGCTTTATTAGATATTCAAGTTGTGTATCATGTTTTTAAAAAGTAACTAAGTAATAAAGTAAATAATTACTTTTGAAAAAAAGTAACCAGTAAAGTAACAGGATTACTTTCAGTAGTCACTAATTAGTAACTAATTACTATTTTCAAGTAACTTGACCAACACTGGTCTTTAGGTTTCCTGATGTCTTCATTTAGCTGATATTGGCGCTCCAACACACCCAACTGTGAACACAAGTTAATTTAGATGACCATAAATGTTGGTATGTCCACTGTAACAAAGAGCTCAAAAAAGCCCCAAATTCAGGACTCCGAACTCTTGGAAAAATTCCAAATTCAAAAACTTTAAATCCAGACGATGGTCGTTTCAATCATTTTGTGGATTCAAACCATTCAGGAGGAGCAGAGGATGCCTGAAATCCAAAAAACTGGCAAAAGATCTACAACATGTATAAAATAGAAGAAAAGTTCAAACTTGAATTCAAAAGGGGAATAAAAGCAAATTAGAACGACAGCAGCAATATGTCACTACTGAAAGAGCAACACAGGAAATAGGAGAAGCCACAGAGGTGGAACAGATGATTAAATAATTAAAATAATTTTCTCAAACCAAGGTGGAGAATCTGACGAAACTAACAAGGGTGCAAAGAACATTGGAATAAAAAAAAATAAAAGAGGAAATGACTAATAATCAAATCACCAAATTATGTTATTGTTCACATCAGGTAATTTTCCAAACTTTGGTGCCTCCCTCTGTCCCTCCCCATTCCCTTTACTGGTGATGCTGGGCGTGTGTTCATACTTCACGTACTTCATCATTCAAAGGTAGTTAACACTCATGACTTGATGACTCTCAACCTCATCATCCATCAGGACTCGCATGACAAGATTTATTTGCACCTTCAAGATGGCAAGAGAAAGTAAGAACAAGACCTCTGGTAAGTCTTTACAGAGAATTTTATATCTCAGTTTGATAAAGGAATCATTATCAAGATGATGTTTGGTTGCAAAAATCAATCATTTCATTCTTTTACAGAAACTTAATATAGAAACAAGACAATGCAAAAGTAAACATTGAAAAACAGCAAAGTGCCATAAAGCAAGTGATTAGCAAATGAGTTCAAAGACAGAGTGCTAATAATGAGCTGCACACTGAAGTTTCTTATAAAAAGAAACTAGAAGCTTTGTTTCTTTGGAAATTAAAATCTTTCCACTGATGATAAAACACAGAAAACAAATCAACACAGGCCATCTAGTGGACTGAGACGGCAACACAGACTTCAGCAAACAAACACTGCAATCTCCAGCACTGAATTTCTCAGCTTGGATGAAGTCCAGACCAAACAAGCTTCTTTGTGAAACCACAGCAGTTTTCTGTTTACATGCTTATCTATTTCTAGACTATTAAGAGGAAACTTTGGCTTTAAATGTATTATTAAATATGAAGCAATAACTTTGATATTGCTTCAATTAAGTAAATGTGATATGTCACCTACCTGAAAAATGTGCAGTTAAAAAATCTTGAATAAATCTTAGGACACAGACATGGTTTCATGTGTTTCCATTTTCTATCTTTGTAGTTCTTCAGTCAGAGGTGTCACACAGATGCAGCTCACGCTGTCTCGGTCCTCTGACCTTCCACAATCAGGCTGTGGGAGAAAAGGTCCGCTTGAGTCATGGAGGTCGACTCGCAGAGAAGACTGAGAACACCTTCAAGAATGGGCTGGTGTTCAGCAACCGTCCAGTGAAGATCCAGGAGAAGATTCATCTGAGAGTGCAGAGGGATTCGACCAACTGGGAGGGAGCTCTGCGTGTGGGCTTTACCACTGTGCCACCCTCAAGCAGATCTCT